AGAAAGAACAGAAGGCAACACGCACGCATGAAAAAAGAAAATATAACGACTCATCTTCTCTCATATATATATATATATATGGGCGTTTTGCAACCAGCAACAACAAAAAAAACAACAACCGAAGTTCCATGTTTTTAATCCGAGTATTATTTGAATGATGGTGATGAAATCGTTCGTTTCTTCTTCGGCCTGGGATTGACTTTGTTGAATTGATGAAGAGGCAGAGCCCCTCCGCCTCGCCGTCATTCCCTCGGCCTTGGGGGGTGTGCAGTACCATCTGGTCGTGAAGAAATTAAACCCTGCTGTGTTTTGTTTTTTTTTTTGCTGTCTTTCTTGCCTCGCCTTCTGCTCGCACCAGTCCGCTAACTAGCTAGCTAGATGCTGTCCGATCGAATCCGATCCGATCCAGACAACTTGTCCAGAGTTTTTAACCGAATATTATCAGTGTTTGAGAGAGAGCTGATAATAAACCGGTTCGTCACCTTGATTATCATCCATCTCACTGCTACATGTAAGTGTGTTTGAGTGCCAAGTGTGCGCTCTTCCGACTTTCGTTTAAAAAAAAGCCCGCATTTCTGGGCACCACCGTGAGATTTATAGATTATTTGCGAGATATCTCACTATGCGGATAGTACTGACCCTGAACTCTTCTGTGCCCCTTCTCTCTCTCACTGTTTGTGCCTCTCGATTTCGTGTATATCTCACAATGTGCGCGTTTCACTTCGTGGTAGAGATAGTGGATTAGTGAGAGGGACTGCTGATTGACCGGTGTCCACCACACACACACATACATACAACACCATTCGGTTTTTTGGCTGATCGTCGTCGTCGTTGTCATCATCATCATCTTCTTCTTCTCCTTCTCCTTTCATCCTCTCTGTGGCCCCATTTTTATTGATTTTATCTTGATATTCGTTCTCCTCGGTGATCCCCCCCTCATCATCATCATCTTCTTTCCTTCCTTCCTTCCTTCCTTCCACCAATCTACCTCTTGTCTTTTTTTTCAATTTTCGATTCCAAAAAGTTTATTTTTTGTCTGTGCCAATCGACGCCAACTCTCAATTTTTGTGCTTCCCTCTAGGTCTTCGTTTTTTCAACACTTGCTCCCGCAAATTGCGATTTATCAGTGGTGTTTGACGATAACGCGTTAATTATTAGTATATATTGTTTTTGGGAAACATTTTTTGACGCGTCATATCAGCTGCAATACCGTCATTCGTCTGCATCATCTTCTGATGTCGACGAAACTCAATTTTTTTTTAAATCGCGACTTGTCCATTCGATTCGGAGGAGTGTGCTTCTCTCATGGAATTCGAAACCCGTTGGAGAATTGTGGGTAATTGGGTCGTATCACTGTCAACACTCATTGTTTCTCGATGTCCTGATTCAACAGTGTTTTTTTTTTAAAGATATCAGATCCTCGTCGATAGTCCTTCTTCCACTTATGATAATCGCCAAAAGTGCAGTGAGATTCGACAATTCTGATATAAAATCTTTGCGATTATAAGTATATTGGTCTAATGAGCACGTGTTCTATTCGTTCATAATATGCTCGACTACTTATTAAAATTTCCATGGTCCTTCCCTCCTCGTGAGAGCCATAGCCCATTAATCGAGCACATTAAATCTCAAATTAGTTTTCGTTGGGATTATGAAACAACCCGAATTGCTAAGATTGAAATGTTCAGGTACGAGAAGCGCACTGAAACATTTAAGCCACGCCCCCACATCGTCAGAATGCGGTAAAATTTTGAACATTTCGATGTTTCTTTTCTTGCAAATTTCTTATTATTGTTAAAAGGTCCATTTGAAATTTGATCGCGTGATATGAAACAATGCATGTAATTAATTGATAAGAGCCCAATTACGAATAGTTGCTTAATTTTGGAATTTATGAGCTCAAAGTGCAGGCTGGTTAAAATGGCACCGAGAGGTACGTGAGATACGCATCTGTTACCGCAAATGTAACAATACGAGTCACTTGCCTTCAATGTCTTTTTCTCGATTCAATTCCATATTGGTTTTTTGCTAACAGAGAGATTGTCTTGTTCATGTTTCCCAAGACCACATATCCCGTCTTCATTCTCGTATAGTAATAACCACTAATCGAGGTCAATAGGGCAGAGCGAGAGATTGATCAAGAAGTATTTGAAAACATTTTCGCTTTCCATCTTCTCGTTTCTCCACAACGTTCACTTCCTTGCCTCCTCGCCGCTATCCACCAGCAGTAGCAGCAGCACCACCACCACCATGGCCTTCGTCCGTTATAACCGGATTGTGACTACCTAATTTGGTCTTGACAATTTAATCAAGCCTCTTTTACTAGCCCCGTGCAACATGTGATTGTTTTATTACATATGTATGTATATGCGTAAAATAGGCCTGGTGCAGCACCACTTCGACCCCTTCCCCCCCCCCTCTCTTCCTAATATTTGCGCTATAGCAACCTTGAAAAGACACAAAAGTTATTACCAATTATGTGGCCACCAGCCGGTCGGTCATTTCTCCGATTGTTTATCTCTCAATATCCTTAGTCGAATCTTGTGGTGAAGAAGAATGAATGAGTGAAGAGAAGAAATTGGTGGCCTTGAGATGTATTGGGGACTGTTCACGACCTTTCGTGCCCATTTTTGTCAAGCTCGTTTTGAAAAAATCTGTTTCTTCTTCTTATTCTTCTTCGTCTTCATATGGTTCCATTTACTGAATTGATAGCCGCTTTGCATTTTGAATTGTTTTCTTCAAAAGCGGCGAGACGAAAATTGATTTCTTTTTGATTTATGGAATCATTTTTCAACACGCCGCTCATGAATTCCGATTTTTTTTTGCTTTTGATCGACGATTTCACTTTTGACCTTTTTTTCTCTCCGTTTGGTAACGAACAGGATGGTCTTGACGCGAATTTTTAATCTGGAAAAGTGTCTTGGATTTATGATTTTGAACAACCAGCATTCGCTATTGCACACAAACACACATAGCACAAAAAAATCGAGAAAGGATTCCCACATTTGCGGAGACCCTCACGATAATCGATTATATCGTATTGACGTCCTTAATTTTCTTTTCTTTCCGGAAGAAAAATATTGTTTTTTGCAAATTTCATCTCAAAAATTTTCATTATTATTATTCTTTTTTTTTACTTTGCCTGAAATACATTCATAGGCCTCACAGCACAAACACACCCATAAAAGGACCCCCAAATAAATGCCCTTCATCATGTTGTTATGCCTCGCTGCGCACTCCGCGCACCGCTCGCTATTTCGCGACTCTTTTGTTTGAAATCTGATTTAAAATTTTATGGAAATTTGGTGGTGAGTGCGTGTTTGAGCGTTTTTGGTATAGTGGAAAAAGGGGGGGGGGAGGGGATTTCATAATTTTTGCCGCGCCGCCCCACTTTGAAACCAATTTAATATTCCACGGGTTTTATGCTAATTAGGTATTGTTTCATTTTGAGTATCCCATTTATTCGAAACGTCGACTTTTGATTCGCTAATGATCATTGAGCCCGATCATGATGGTTTGAAATGAGTTGATTTTCTCAAAGCACACCCTTCCCCCTCCCGCCTCCAATTCTGTTGATATTACTTATTTTAAAAACTCGGTGAAACAGAAAGTTCGAAACGCACATATGTTTCACTTCATCATCGTTCCTCTTGTGAACATAGTTAATCATATTTCAAAGGCTTCCCCTCCCCCCCCCCTCTCCTCCACATCCCCCCGTTTCCACTCCGCACGATTATTTTTTCTCAGATCCATCTGATGCTCAAAGTGCTGCATTCGAATCCATTTCATTTCATTCCGCCCCACTCCTCGAATAATTACAATCAAAACTTTCCCATCGCACATTTATTAGCTCCATCAGCATCATCATCATCATCACCACTAGCATCATCTGAAGCCGCGTTTCATATTTGAAGCGAGTTTTTCGACTGGTTGACCTTCACAAATCTGTGAGTTAATCGCATTTTCTAGTGACAGATGAGCAATTAGTCGCTACTTGTACCAAGATAAACATCCTTGTTCCCCTCCTCCTCCTCCTCATGCCTTCCCTTCCCCCCCCCCCTCTCACCATTGTTGTTCGAGCAATGCGATTATGATGAATATGAAAAGTTGACGGCCACCACCGTAGTCTCGATTCGAGCCAGTCCGAATCTGTCACGACGATTGTGGTGCGACTCGATCATGCGGCGCTCGTCAAATTTCCCGTCGCCGCACCGAATCCATCATTGTTGAAAAAAACACAACAAGAAGCATGTCAGTCGTCGTCGTCAAGACGAAATGATCGTCGCCCCCCGATATTCGTCCGAGCCAACCGTTTTTTTCGTCTTTCATCATTCATTCATTATTCATGAATATACATATATTTACTGTTCCATTGTGATTCTTCATGGACTCACCAACGCCTCTGTCGTTGCTGCTACCGTTGTCGGCTAGGCAGCGGCTCTTATAAAAATTTTGAAGAAGAATATGATGATTCCCATGTCGTAAAAGTATTAATTGTGTTGTAAAACATCCCCTGTACGGTACCCCCCACCCGACCCCCATACCATTTTTTTTGTGGGCGGCCATAAAATGGGCGCGCCTCAATCTTATGATTTTTTCTTCTTCTTCTTCTTGATCATTCGTGTAAGGGTGTACGCTGTGCTCATATACTTGAATCGCCTGGATGCGATCCGAGCCATTCTTGAATGGCTTCGGTCTGTTGAACCTAAATGAGGTTAAGTTGTGCTCCGTCTTTTTGGGAATGCGCGAGGTGTGCATGCATACGTGTATGAAAATAAAATATGATTACATTTCCAAAATCCTATTACCCCTTTTTTTCTTTCCACTTTCTTCCACCATTCTTCATTCAGGCAGTTCGCAGTTTTTTTTTTTTCACCCTCCTTCTTTCGTTTTTCTTCTTCTTCGACAATTTTTTTGCTTAAGCTTCCGTCCTCTTAAATATTCCTTTGATTTTCTTATTTTTTTCCCATCATTTTTTAATGAAGAAATTTGATTTCAGTATGAACATGATGCAAATTGGGCCGATGGTGATGAGCAATGGTGGTGGCGGACCGCCGCCACCGGCTCACATTCAGATGCAGATGCACCATCACCAGTTTCCTCATGCTTCACAACAACAACACCAACAGCAGCAGCAACAGCATTTGCATATGGCGCAACACGCGCCGCAACAGCAACAGCAGCCAGCGCCTCCTCCGGTCACAAGCAGCATGAACCGCTCGCAGAGGTACGGTCATTTAGTGAGGAGTAATGCGAAAAGGTCAATACTTATTCGAAAATTTTTTAAATTTGGGCGGGAAACCCTTATCATTGGTATTTATTAAAATTCTTGAAAGGAAAAAATTCGAAATTTAGGCAAATTGGGGGTAGCTCATGATGTCAGCCACTTTTCGTCGACGTTTTTTTTTTTGTTATTTTTCTTCTTTCCTTCATTCCCATTTTTCAAGTTCGATGCACTTTTGTTCAACCGGTTGGCAATCGTGCAAAAAGAAATTGCCAGGCTGATTAAAAATATTTGCTTAAACTTTTTCCCGTGCGTTTTTGAGCAGAATTGAAACGTTGCCGATTTTGCAGATGCGGTGTTTGTCGTGGCTGTCAGTGCAAACCGTGCGGCCAATGCACCTACTGTCAGGATTCGCCGCAATTCGGCGGTCCCGGCGTTAAGAAGCAGAGTTGCATCGAACGACGTTGCCTTCGGGTGCTCGAGAATCGCCTTCAACGCGACGCGCCGACGTTCAAAGCGCGCGTCGGGTGCAATCAATGCGAGGACTGCCGAATGGCCGACTGTCAGATTTGTCTCGTTTGCCTTGACAAGCGCTTCTTCGAGAATCGCTATATGCGCGGCGCGATGTGCGCGAAGAAGCGATGCAACAACGCGACGAGCATCGAATTGGCGGCGCCGCCGAACGCGCAAAACGGGCACGATTTCGCGCAGCGTCAGGTAAGTGCGATTATCGACATCGACACCGGGTGTAATGAGACATATGATTAGGCACCGAAACGACCGTACGAGCAGATGGCACCGCAGCAACAAGTGCACTTCGACATGAAACGAATGCAATACATGGCTCCGCCACCGCAGATGATTGCGCAACCGATGCCGATGCCGCAACAGCAGCAACAGGCTCAGCAACAACAACAACAACAGCAGCAGCAGGCCCAACAACAGCAGCAGCAGCCACCGCAGCAGGCACAGCAGCAGCAGCAGCAAGCGCAGGTCCAGCAAAGACCGTCATGTTAGTTTTTATGGTGGTTCATTAAAACGGGTTGCGTGATCAATGCGAAATTTGGGGAGAACGGAGCGTCTTTCAAGGATTTGGATTATAAATAGGACATTCACAATGGAATACAATTTTTTGGTTTTTATGATTCAAGTTTTATTAGACTTGAAGTAGTTGGTTAAACGCGATTTTAGAAATTTTTGAATGTTTGGATCTTTGAGAAAATTGATATAAAATTTTATACCAATTTTTGTAAAGAAGATTGTATCATATTCCATAAAAGTCGCATTTTACTGTTCGCGATTTTCCATAAAAATTCCTTGAAACGCGTAAAATTTTATGCAAAATTTATGAGTAGTTTGATTTTTTTTTGCTTCAGCTACCCCATCGCATCATCAACAGCAACAACAGCAGCAACAGGTTCAACAGCAGCAACAGCAACAGCAACAACAGAATCAGCAAGTGCGTAGCAATCCGGTGCAACAGGTCCAGGTCTCGCAGCCGAACGGCCAACCGATTCAGATGAGCAATGGCGAGCCGAGTCAGATGGATGCCGCCCATCAGCAACAGGCGCAGCAGCAGGCGCAACAGCAGGCGCAACAGCAACAGCGAATGGTGTTCGCGAACGGGTATCCAGGTAAGAAGAAGTGCCGCAGCCCAGTTGTTGATTGTGAGCATTTGCAGAGATGAACGCGCAGCTGATTCAGCGAATGGCTCCGCCACCGCCGGGTGCCCAACCGTTGCCGAATCTTCCACAGGTCGCCCAGCTGGCACCGCAACACGGATTGGACATTCCCTACTTAATACCGAACTTCGGTCAGGGGCAAGCGCAACAGGACTTCTATCCGATCAAGCCCTACCGTATCGAGGACTTTGAGCACAATGGCGATCCGTTTACGCCGCCGAGCTACGCGCCCGACATGAAGAATGCCGTTGTGCTGCAGCCGCTGTGAGAGCAGGCGAACGCGAAATTATTAATTTATTGATTGATTGTTTGGATGTTTGTTTGTTTTTTTTTCTCTCTCTTTTCCAATTTTTGGTTCGTACCCATTGGAACTGATTGTTCTCAATTCTCCCATTTTCTCTCTCTCTCTCTCTCTCTCTCTCTCTGTCTTCAACTCTGGGGTGTCAAGCCTCTTTTCTCGTTGAAAACAATTCTTCGCCTAAAAAAGGAAAAGGAAAGAGCATCTAGTTAGCGGTTCGCTTCTCATCTGTGATTTGACACTCTTCCTTTCCCGCTTCTTCGTCGTTTATTTTCATTTTTTTTTAAATATACTAAATAGATTTTGTTTTTTTTTTTTCGTCTTTCTCTACCAAACCCTCCAAATCCAAAAATGTGTGTTCGTTTTCTTCGTTTTTTTAATCAAATCTTTTTGCTCTGATGATAGGCAAAATTGTTGTCGTAATTCATTTTTTCTTTTTCTATTCAGGGACCCGAAAACCCATCGCAAAATTTGAAACATGTGCAATTCATAATAATAATTATTATTATAACTATACCATAACCCCAGCGCTCTCCGAAATGTGTTTTTTCTTTGTTTAATTGCTTTAGGTATAATGTCCCTTCTTCTGACTCACCATTTCTAATCATATATAATGTGCCTTTTGATTACTTATTCAACGATATCTTAATATTTATTTGATTACATATTTTTTTTCAAACTGTTTCCCTCTTTTTCTCTAATTCCTCTCCCATTTTCTGTCCTATCTCTCTCTCTCTCACTGTTTCACTGTGACATTTCTCTCTTTCGTTGGAGATTTATGTATATACAAGAGTTTTATATTTCTTATTGGTAAACAATTAATAATTGTTGAAGAGTTTACAAGAAAATTTGAATTTGAAGGTTCTGCATGAAAATTTGAAAATTTCGGGCGGCTTTCCTTCGAGAAATGTTGCTTCTTTGAATATGCTCCATGTTTTTTGGCTGGAATCCGGAAATTGAGCAGCTTTAGGAAATTCACTTGAACTTTTGATATTTGTCAGAAAATTTGAAAAATATGGGCTTTAACATCAAATTCTGAAAATGCAATGAAATATGGAAAATAATTTAGATTGACTGCAACCACAAGCACGCAAAATTGCACACATTTCAATGCGAATGAATTTGTTATGGACAGAAAGAAGAAATTGACATCATCTAAAAAAAATGTTATTCCATTTTTATTTTAATATTTTCATTGAAAACAAAAATTGAAAATTGCCTTCTTCCTTGCGAAACCGAAGAAGGTGTGTTTGGCGCACTTCCGCATATACTCTAGTAAATGGAATCCGACAAAATTCGCCTCAGGAATCAATCCAATCCAATTAGTAAAATTCTACGGATAGAATTCTAAAATTGTCAGCTTCAATTGGTTTTTTTGGGTATTATGGGATCCAAGTTTCCCAAAAAAACGATAACTAGAAATGTTTGCTGCAAGACCTTGTAGAACATCATTTAAATTTGAATTTAAACAATGAGGATTTGGGTACGTGAATTTTTACGTAGGCGTACGCGAACCGCAACGCGTCTGGAGACATCAAATAATTTCGGTAGCTGCTTGTTTTTGGGAAACAGATTTTCCAGCAAATTTCGAGATTCACGCTTATCGAAATAAAACGAAGAATTCATTTTGTTTAATATGCAGATTTTTGGAATAAATCTCAAAAAACTGGAAAAAAAAACTATATTTTTGCATTGATTTTTTAATAATTGTTGCCGTTTTTTGCGTTTTTCGTATAATTCATAGGAAACGAAATACAATAATCAACGCGATGTGTAATTTAAAAATGTGCATATAATTGTTGAAGCAATACACCATCGTTTGACGATACTCGAACAAAATTTGGCAAAATTGAAATAATCGAACCATACTTGGCCGTTAATGACACACAAGATTGTCAAGAAAATCTAAAATTCGACATCGCGCCTCTCTATCCGTTTCTTGAAATCGTTGAACACTGATGTCGTTGTTCAAGTGTTGTTCGCCGTCAATCAAAAACGGATTGGAGTCGAAGTATTGCGGAATGTAATAATATTCATTCGAAACAGGTGGCCAATTTGTCGCCGTCGTCATCGTCCGATCAAACCGGGAGAAGAGAGCGCAAAAATGTGCGAAATCCGATAGCTGTTTTCGCGTCATCGCGCCGAATTAAAATAGTGCCATCGGCAATATGAGCACTCGTGTGAGCTCATCCTCTCATTTTTGTCGTATCACTTACGATTCGCAGCTTTTGCCCACCCCGTCGTCGCCCCCCGCCGGCGACTTTATTACACCTCTTCATTCTACCCTATTTCTTCTTCTCCTTCTTCTTTCATCTCGATGCTCTGCTCGATGAATTTCCCGCCCCATCATCTCATACTTCTCGCACACCTTTATGTTCGCCGCATTCTCTTTTTGTGTGTTCCGCATTTGCTTGTGTCCGTTTTTTAATGGTCCCACCCTTTTTAGGACCGCCATATAAAAATTATATATTATTTTCTAGCTGTCAAATCAGATTGAGATAATCTATAAAAGGAATGAGGACTGAAATTCCAGAAAAATTCTGACATTTTTACGATTTATTCAAAAAATTATAGTTGCTGTTGTATTTTTTTTTTTGAATAACTAAAAATAGTTTCAACATTTTTTCTAATCCCATTATGCCCAAAATCGGACAATTGCTCACAGAGCTCTGATTTTTTTCGTTTACCCTAATCCAATCAACAATAACTATACCTTTAAATATGCTAACTCAATTTGTATACTGCTAGTAATTAGTAGGCGAGTAATGTGCTTCGCGAAAACAACGCGAATTTTAATTTCACCCATTTTTCTCTCAAAATTCTCAATTTTTTGTAGATTCCGCGCAATTATAAAGCCCGTCGAAGAAAAAACACAAAAGTGACAATCGAGACATTTATGGTTATTAATTGTTAAAATGAGATTGGCGTCGTCCGTCGGACCCAATCCGTCGCCATCCAACAATTAATGCCTCGATTTCATTGGCTCATTCTACTGCTCGGTTTGGTGCTCGAACAGTGCTCATCGGCTGATCACAATTGCCCGATGGCCTGCCGGTGTGATGAATCGACAAGTCAGGTCTCGAAGCGAACCGCATTTTTCATTCATCCGCAATTAATGAGTGTTCAGATCACATGTGAGGGTCCGCTAGTTGTCACACTACCTGATCGATTGCCGTCTGGATTTGAGGTATAAACATTGTGATACGAACGCATTCGTAGAGATGATGCTGAGATGTTTGATGAAGCTCTGGGAATTGCTCTTTTGGATTCCAAAAAATTTCAATTTGATTTTGGCACAACTTTTGAGTTTCGTTTGAAAAAAATAGCTTGAAATCGATTCAGAATTTCAGAGAGCTCTTTTTTTTCTGAAAATCTTGCCCTTTTTTGTTATTTCACAATTATGTTGAGCGAGGCTTCTGAGGTGTAAATCGAATCCAAAAAGTCGGCAAACACCTTGAAAGGAACCATCAGGTTCCTTCAAACTGCTTTCGCGACATTTTCAGATTCAGCGAATTGCTGGAGTTTTAAGTATAGCAAAATCGAATAGCGAATGGAAAAAAAAGAGCAAAGTTGCTGTTCGAGCATTTGCTCACCTCGTTAACATTTATGAGGTGTCGCAGGTGAACATTTTCACACATCTGGCGTTTTCAAAGCAATTTCGAATACCATCATTTTCTAATTCGAAAATTTCAATTCAGACGCTTATCTTCCGGAATACTTCGATTCGAGCAATCGAGAAGAACTCGTTTCGCAAAATGGATCGACTAATCACCATCGAATTCATCTCGAATCCTCATTTAAGCACAATCGAGAAGATGGCATTTAAAGGTCTCAAAAAGCTTAGGTTGGTTTATTTTGAGCACCAATCGCTTATTTGAGATATTTTACAGACTTTTGCATTTTGACGGTTGTCGCGAGCTGACGCAACTGGAGAAGAACGCATTCGCTGGAATCGCCAACCAGATGGGATTGAAGATCATCTTCGAGAACACGCCGATTCATCGAATTGATGGGATGGCTTTTAGGTGAGAACAATTTAATAATGTGTGAATTAATCCCGCGGCGAAATTGTTTTTTTTTAGAAATGCTCAAAACATCAGGGAACTCTCAATTTCGGGTCAAGATCTTGCTCTTTCACGCCATTGTTTCGCTAACATCCATCAGGTAACATGAGAGACTTTAAAGAAATTTAAAAGTTTGCGCACAACTAGAATTTTTAGTCGTGAATTTTTTAAAATTGTCCTTCAAAATTAAATTTTCACAAATTAGTGATTTTTGACAAAAATCTTCGGTAGAGACCTCACAGAATACTCAATTATTTCTTTTGAAGAAAAATTTGAAGAAAAAAAATATTATATAGAAAAATAATTAATTACCCAAGTTTGAGGTAAATTGACCTTCCCTGATGATGATCTAAAGATCGAAACGTCGGATAAAAACGTTTAAACAGTGTGCAAGACAATTAGAAAGGGTCCTATCAAGAAGATCTCTTCTACTTAACAATAATCAATTGTGTGCAATTTAGCGCGCGTGTGTACGCACACATCTCTACCGATGAGACGGGTCTCCCTTTTTTGTATTTGCAATTTTTATCAAAATTGACCTATAAAATTTATATGATATTTTTACGAAAAACTATTTTTCAAGTGGTGTAAATCGCTAACAAATCGGCACGGAATTCCTTGTTTCGCAAAAAATCGGACTTCAGCCAAAAAACGAAAAAGATTCGGCAAAAATATTTTTAATTGATTTTTGTGCGTTACGGTAGCGAAGTCCGCAATGGACATTACGCAAAAATGAACAGATTTTTAAAAATCCGTTCCGTTTTCCGCTTTTCGTCAAAAAATGTTTTGTTTTGCCTTCCGTCTTCCGTTTTTTTGAATTTAGGTTCCATGTAGCTCTGCTGATCAAACTTTCAAAAGTCTAAAAATATTTATGTGACAGCCACCGTGAAAATTGCTCAATAATTGGGCCGTTTTTGTAGAATATCAAATTTGAAGAAAACTTGAATCTCGGGAAAATTCCAGCTCGACTTTCTCACAATCTCGGGTGTTGTGCTCATCGAGCCGGAGATTTTCACAAACTCGACGCGTTTTCACATTGTGCACATCAAGAACTCGAATTTCGACATTCCGCCCAACACGTTCAGCAGTTTGTCGCACGTCTCGCATGTAAGCCGATCGGTTTCGATGAGCGTTATGACAAAAAGCTCTCGAATTTCAGCTGCTCATCGAGCACTCGACGATCGCTTCGATTGCACCTGACGCGTTCACCGGATTGTCGACGATTCAAATCATCGAATTGCACAAGAATCGCCTCGGGACCATTTCGGCGAGAGCATTCGCCAATGTTGAGAATTTCGGCGAGCTCAAGGTAACGAGAATTCACCAATTGCAAATTATAAAAGAAAATCAATTTCAAAAATAAAAATAATCGGCGTCAAATAAAAATCCGGCGGGGGTTTTTCCCGCAATTTCTTTGGAAATATAATTTTTTTCAATTATTTAAAAACCGATTTTGAAACAGTAATATAATTTTTCTGATTGAATTACGAATCGAATTCAAAAAAAATATAAGCGAAACAAATTTTTTTTCAGCTTGTTCGCAACACGATAGGCGAACTTGATACTTCTGAATCAATATTCTCGAAAGCTCTGAAATTGCGTGTCGAAGAGAACACCGTAGAATGCAATTGCAGTCTTAAATGGATGACAAGTATTGAGGTATGATTTTCAGGCGAATTTCGAATAAACCGCGATTGCAGGAAATGTCCGACGAAAACTTCTGCTCAATATCAGCCTCCTCCCGATCGATTCGCTCGTTCATCAAAGCCAAGTGTCAGCAAAAAGTTCGCACAAGTCAACAGCCAATCTCAACCAGCTCAATTCCTTCGATTCTAGGCGCATTTTTCCTTGTTCTAATACGGTTATTCTAGGTTTCATCGCAACTATTTATACATTCTCAGGAATAAAAATTCACAATTTCGCCAAAACTCTCGATGACTCCATCATCGCTTCAATCACCTCTTCGATGGTGTCGACAAGCACAATGTCCATCTCATTCTGAATATTTCAATCCGAATTATAGCATAATCGCTACAGTAATATACTTTAATATCCACATCAAGCTTCTCATATTCTTCAATATTTGCCTTTGGAAGCACCACCCTTCGGAGTCCTTCTCTCTGAGCGGCGAGAACCTTTTCTTTAACACCTCCGATCTGAAGAATCCCACATTATCAAATGTCAAGACGTTGGTAGAAATCGATACCGGTAGCACATGGCCAGTCAGCGAAATTTCTCCGGTAATCGCCGTGTCACACCTTAAAGGCACATCCATCGCCAAACTAACCAAAGTCGCGGCGAGACCACAACCAGCGGATGGTCCATCCTTGTTGATACTTCCTGAAAAACCATTTTTTTTAAGTGAGAACCTAGTCGAAGTTCAAAGTTGTCCGCAGATGTAAAATTATAATATCACATAAATTTCAATAGGGTTAGCAGGTCTGTAGAAAGTACAGCCAGACGAGTTTTGGCGGTAACTCAAACGTTTTATAAAATCCTGGGATTAAAGATATAATTTTGTAATTTGAATTTTTTGTATTTTTTTAAATGGACCTATTCATGCAATTAAAAAAATGGATCCTCAATGTAATTTTTTTTCATTTTTTGAATTAGTCTATGTATATTCAGCTAGACTGAATATATTTTGTTGCATTTTCACGAAACGAACAATTTTCTAGATTAATTTTTTTTTCTTGAATTACCTGAAGGTAAATGAACATGAACATCATAATCATTCAAATTTTTGAGATTTAGCCGATGCGAATTGGCGGCAAGCCAGTTCTTCGCCACCAAAATGCTCTCATCGAGCACTTTTCCCAAATGTCCGGTTGTCACGATTTTACCATTTCCAACGCTTTTCGAGGCTTCTAAAAACGCATCCGTTGGGAATTGAAAATAATTATTATATTCGCAACAACAAAAAAAATTGATTTTTGATTCGCTGACTATCCAAATTCCAACTGTTTTAGTTCGAATTTGAATCGCCTCGAAAAAATGCGATGGTCCACAATTATTCAAGGCTCTCGCATTTTTTGTTGCCGATTCTAATATAATAATACCAATTGGCATCACTTTTCCGCCATTCGTCGTCACACTCAATCCAAAACACACTCCCGGCTTCAACGGCTTCATCTTCTCAACAATTTTCAATTTCTTCATTAATTTGTTCTAAATGAAACAACAATTTTGCTAGATTGATAATTAGGATTGACCTTCAATATCGAATAAACTTCCGATTGCCCGATTTTGATAGGCAATTGCATTTCCGGCACAACATCGGAGCCAGGGTCCGAATTCAAAGCCTCAGCCAATCTGAAATCTCAGCAATTCTTCAAATAATATAGGGCGTAGTTGCAAATTTCCGGCCGCTGACAAGCAACGACACTCCAAGTTTACACAAAGGCCTTTGTTTAGCGTAATAAGAATTTCGAATTGCATTATTTTGAGTAGAATTAATAATTCTCAAAAAAAAATTTCTCTGTGTCCGAAATCGAGTAAAATGTCCGCAGATGAAAAAATTTAAAATATTTTCTACATGACTTCAAACCGCTGATAACAAGTTTTTTTCAAATGTTACCTCAATGCCACATGTCTGCAAATTGCTCCAATATTTCGCTCAAGTTGGCGAACACCAGCTTCCATTGTGTATTCCTCAACTAACAAAAAAAAAAAGAAATGCAAATCAGACAAAATCAAATGTGTGATCTCACTCATTGTCGAAATCGCGGTTTTGTCGATCTCGACATAATCCGGCGATATGCAATGTTTCGCGAGTTGCCTCGGCAACAAATGGTTTTCAGCGATTTTCAGCTTCTCTTTAAGCGAATAGCCGCTCATTTCAATTATCTCAAAAAAAACAATTGATTCAATTGATTTCGAATCATCAAAAATGGATGGATCACCTCGAGTCGATCGCGTAGAGCTGGCTCCACTTGAGCAATATCATTGGCCGTTGCGATGAACATCACTTTCGACATATCAAATGGTAGATTGAGATAGCTGAAAACAAACAAAAATTCATTTTTCCTGAAATTCCCTGTGGTGCGTTGTCCGTGTGGACTACAGAAGACGCGCCTCTCGTCTTTTCGAGACCATTTCCGACGCTTAGCCAGTTTTTTTTTTAAAAAGAAACTCACTGATCATGAAACGCGTCATTCTGTTCGGGATCGAGCAATTCGAGAAGGGCAGCCGACGGACTTCCCTGATTGCCGGCGTACAATTTGTCAATCTCATCCAGCAGAAACACCGGATTGTTGGATTTGCAGTGCTTCAACGCCTCGATGATTCGGCCGGGCATCGCCGCGACGTACGTGCGTCGATGTCCGCGAATATCGCTTTCGTCGCGAATTCCGCCCAGCGAGATTCGCTCGAACTTCCTACCCATTGATTCGGCGATCGCCTTGGCAATGCTCGTTTTTCCAATTCCCGGCGGTCCAGCAAAACACAAAATCATTCCTTTCACCTGATGAATCAAAAACGAAATGAAGGGGGTTTGAGGCAATTTCGAACCGAATTGTTCATTTTGCACACGGCGAGATGCTCCAAAACGCGTTGCTTCACATCATCCATGGCATCGTGCGATTCTTCCAATAATGATCGAGCCTAGAAATTGAAAGAAATTGAATCTGAGCGAAAGTAAATTTCATTGAAATCATCTGCGGACATTATCCGAGATGTTAATTGCTATGTGGTGGCAATTCAAAAATGGCCCCCCCCAACAGGGCTCAATTTTGACAACGCTGTTAAAAAATTGCCTTGCTGATTTCAATCTCGTCGGGAGTCGACGAATTCCAAGGAAGTGCTGCAACCAGTTCGAGCCATCCAATCAGAACATTATATTCGGTTTGCGATGAGTTGAGCGTCTTGAGGCGGCCAAGTTCCGACATCACGCGATTCTAGGAGGTTCGGGTTTCGACGCAACACACATTTCACGTCTCACCTCAATCTTCTCCGGAAGCTGAATTGTCGCCAATTTGTGCTCGAGCTCTTCAACACCCGTCTTTTCGGGTGCAATTTTTCGAGTTCGCGTCGCTCTCGCCGGCAGTTTGTCATCGTCGCTCTTCGGATGATAGAGCGCAATGCTCTTCGGCTCCTGCGTTCCGATCCATCTCTCGAGCATCTCCATTCGTTTTTGAACATCGCTCGTCGCAAGAAACTCCAAAAACGCGCCATATCCGACAAATTTTAAGCGCGACGCGCTGAAAATGAATGAAAAAAAAACGAAATTCATCGTCATCGAGATTACCACAAATCGACAAGTTTGCCGAAATCGCGCTCATCGATGAGATGCTCAATCTCGTTGGCGAGATCGCGGCCGACACCACTCGTCGCAAACGTCTTGGCGTATTTCACCAAAAACTCAATGGTGTCGTGTCCCAAATCACCTTCAATTCTTTTTTTTTTCGGCGCGTGCACTCATTCAGCACGGTGCCAACCTGCGGAATCGACGATTTTCGAAATGCGGCAAGTTGGTAGCGAGAGACTGTCAATATTTACACGTTCGAGGCCAACAACATGAATTGTGTACTAAATTGAAGACAAAAAAAAAAAGAATTTGGTTATTTGTGATTGCATGAGCGCAAACCAAACCTGAACGAGATTGTTGAATGTCATTCCAAAGATTTTCTCAACGTAGGCTAGAGTGGCAATCTCGAAAACCTGAAAATCGGCGGCTACATGTTGGTTTTGAATTTGTTGGCGTTGATTTGCTACTTCATTCAATAATTTGAAGCCATTTCAAATTGAGAGCTTCAAGATTTTCAGATTTCAGAGACACAATAATTCTTGAGATTCCCCCAACTTTTCTCATTTTCGAGGCGACGGAATTAAATTTTTTCAAAATTTTTCAAACTTTTGTTGGCCACAAACCTTGTCTTGCGATGTTTTATATCCAATCGCGACGTAATTTTGCGTTCCAGCCCGTTTCGCCAAATACTGCTCAATTGTGTTAATGCTAAAAATAGTGGTGTGGAGCACTTGAAAGTGAATTCAATACTTGATTCGACTTTTAATTGGAAGCTTCACACTTGCACCGGGAAGCAGAACCCCATTGGAGATGAGCAGAATCGGCACTTCCATCGAATCGGAAATCATCGTTTTGCGCTGAAAATTTCAATACTCAGCTGTTGAGTGGAATGGAAAGGTGAACAGAATGAGACAGACAACAACAACGCCTGATGTCTTATCAAAAAATGGACGCTACGATGTAGTGTGGCGGCCGAATATTCTAGTATCTGCCGGCCGAAAGAAACAATAATATGACTTGCAAAAAAAAAGATTTCTTTTAAATAATGGTATATTTATATCATATAGGATAACCATTTTGAGCTTCTAGTCGAAATAATCATTTTTGCAAATACTGAATAGATTAATTGTATATAGCCGGCCTCTGGCGACAGCTGTACGGCGGGTAGATTTACGCGTGCGCCTTTTGAAATGGTCTTGCCACGCGTGATCGCTTATTTCGTTGTTTTCACGTGAATCGCTCATTTTTTCTTGATGAGTTTGGAATTTTCATGAACTTCTAACGTAATTCAATTAAAAATTATAAAATCCGACCCATAAAATGCAAAATAACCTGTTAGTCCTTGCGAGACCATAGCGAAGGCGCATTCACCTAAATCAATAAAAAAAATTAAATGTTAAATAAAATATTTCAACTGCGGACAATTTTCAGAATCGTGTTCCATTTTTAGTCAGCTTGTCAGAATATAGAAAATAATCTCCATAATCAACTTACATTCCAACCATGCAAAAATCAAAATCAAAAAAATTTTTGATTTTCAATTTTCGCACTATGGGTCTCAAATGGAACATTTGATGCTTTTGATCATTGTCTGAAACATTAAATTCGAATTGAAACTGGCAATGAAGTAAAAATTCAAAAGAAAGATGATGATTCTTAAAAGACGGTCAATTTTTCACAAGACTTTGCTCACTTCCTCCATTCGCCCACACAATTTTGATTCATCCGAAGCGATCAATTTGATTTCGATTAAATGAGTCACAAAAATAACCCATCAATATAGTTTTCATTTTTTTTTTGTCGTGAAATACGTGCTCAAACAGACGCCTGGCAAATAGGTTGGCGTGGCTGATCTGTTTGCCTGGCCAACTACTAATAAAACTCGAGTTCTCTTCTCATTTGTAAAAGCTCACCATCAACGATGCAACATAGTTTTATTCGTCTCCTAGCTTCCCATATTTTATTATTAGGCAGTCTCGCTCAGCAGACGACCAATAACTATGTATCCGTTAGCTGCTCGCAAGGCGTCGTTCAAGGAAGGCAAGTAGATTACGGTGAGCAGCTCATTGAGCAATTGATTGTTTCAATTCGACCTCCTTATAGGGAACGATCGAAGTCAGTTATACTGCGGCAGTGGAAACGTGTTCACAGGGATCCCCTATGCTCAGCCGCCTGTGAATGATCTCAGATTCCAGCCGCCGCAGCCAATCACGTCTTTCAACAGTCCGATGCACGATGCCACCTATTTTCGGCCGAAATGCCCACAGACGAATGCGAATGGTCCGACGAACGAGGATTGCCTTTACTTGAACATTTATACGCCGCAAGTCGGCAATACCACGGCGAACATGGCGGTTCTAGTGCTGATCGATGGTTCGAATGGGTTCGCGAACGGCGGATGCGATGAATCGCAAGTGAAAGGAATTGTATCGAATCTCGTCCAGCGCGAAATTGTCGTTGTCACACTTCAATATCGATTGGGAGCATTGGGCTTCTTCACAACGTACACCGGTGTCGTTCAATCGAATTTGGGAATGCTTGATCAGGTGCAAGCGATGAAATGGATTAAATCGGAGATCACGAATTTTGGGGGCGATCCGAACAAAATCACCGTTGCTGGACATGACGATGGCGCTTGCGCGGTGTCGGCTCACACGCTCAGCCCAATGAGCCAAGGTGATTCTTTTCATCTCTAACGTCTTCACAGAGTCTGCTTCAGATCTCTTCCAGCAAGCCATCATCCAAAGTGGTTCGATCTACAGCTGCTACAACAATCTTCCAGTGGTCCCAGCTGCACAAACCTCGATGTACGACGATCCGAGTGCCCATTATGGAAACGCCAACTACGGAATGCCAACAACGACATCATCCACTAGCGCCTACGACGCGCCAAACGCGCAATTCGATGATCCGAATGTTCAGCTCGCTGACACTCTCTGCAATATTAGTCCCGAACAATGGAGATCTGGACAGATTCAAAACATTCAGAATTGTTTGAAGAATTATACCGTCGACTTTTTTGTGAATCAATCGCCAACTGGACAAACTTCGACGTGGATGATCGTCAGAGACAATCAGTTCCTTCCGGACTCGGTGGAGAACTTGCAGGCGAGACGGCCGAATATTCCAATTATTATTGGAACTGTTCAAGACGAGAACGCCGATTATGGTATGAAGAAATTATTGGCATTTTCATTTCTGATTCTCCCCGATTTTCAGCATTCAAACTGATTAACACTGGAAAGTCCGATGATCCGAACAATCTTGACAACTGGATCTTCGATTTTGCCAGAAAGAATAAATTGAATAGCGCGGAGACTGACCAAGTCGCCAACATTGTCTCGCAGAATTACGGAGGCCAAGTGCAATATGATGCTGGAAGCCATCTACAGGGCTATCAGACGAACACTGGATACCAGCCGAACAGCGGATATCAATATCAGGCTCAGCCAACGACTGGCTATCAGCAGAATGCCCAGTACAATAATAATGCGCCCCAGGCACAGACGCAAGGCTACCAAACCCAACAGATATTTGGACAAGCGATCCAGTATCAAAGCACTTACCAGGGTGGTGGTCAGCAAATGCAAAGTCAGCCGGTATACGATCAAGGCGGCCGGCAACAGCAGCAATACAATCAGGGTTCTCAGAGTGCCTATCAAGGAGGAGTGTACCAGAATCAACAGCCACAACCAGTCTATCAAAATCAGCAGCCGGCGTCAACACCACCGACTTATCAATATCAACAGCCGACGGCGACGCAGCCTGCATACCTGCAGAATCAAGGAAGTCAGCAAGTTCAGCGAGATCAGCCATCTGGAAGCGGGGTTTCGGATTACACCCAACTGAAGAAGATCACGCAGGTAATCGGAAATCATTTTCGAATTCGCTAGAATGATTTGCGAATTGCAGATCGCTTCGGATCAATCCACAAGTCTTACAACGACGGAAATCCAGTCGTTCATGCAGAATGGTGACCGGCATGTGAGAATCTATCAGTTCACTCACGTGTCGGAAGTCGGGCGTCAAACTGTGCCGAATACTGGTGACGCTTGGAAACGTAATCGTCTGCGAGCAGCCGTCGAACTCGAATTGAATATTTTCAGCGGTGTTCAAGGGACAAGACATGTTCTTCATTACCATGTCGGAGACGATCTGGTCCAACTGCAACTACACGTCGCAGGATCGACAAGTCGCTGACACGATGGGACAACAATGGGCTGATTTCGTGAAGACCGGACAGGTCAACAATTGGAGTCCGACGAATCAGCAGAACTATAATTACTGCAATTTCAACGCACAGCCCGTTCAACAACAGCAATATGCTCAACAAGCGAGACAGGTGTTCCAGGAGCAAGTGAATCCGATTTGTGTGCAGGTAGGCAATGCCTTCTGGAAATCACATTCAGGCAAATTCAATTCTTAAACAAGATGCTCTTTGCAGGCGCAGAACAACTACGCCGCTCAGAACAACCTCACCGTGCCATATTCACCATCGACGCCATTGGTGTCGCCGAGCCGAACGCCGGGAACCGCCCAAGTACAATACGATTCGAATCCGAATGGACAGAACTTTCACATCACATTCCAAGTCAACAGTTTTCCGTTCAACGGCTAGAATACACACATTCGTCGCTTTATTCATGCATGTTTGTAAAAAAAAGAATTTGTTTGAAACAAGAAAAAAACACAATGGAACCATATAAAGGAATTTGAAAACGAAAACGAGCACGATGACTTTTGGAGGGAGGGGGGGGGGTTGGAAAAATGGTGGAGAGCAATTGAGAGGGTGGTGGTGGGGGGGGGATCCAATTTGAACGATGAGGAAAAAAAAGAAAATTGATAATTACCGGTATGACAAATATTAAATGCTGTCGAAATTGTTTGGTGTATTATATAATGGTTGGAAGATTGAGAGGGGAGCGCGGGAACACGAAATTTTGACCTACTATAACTAGTAAATGAAGGAGAAACGAACACCCTGTATTCGAGTTTACCGAGTGGTGTAGTATTATAAAGAAAAGAAAAATAATTAAAATAATAATAATAAGAATGATGGTGATAATGAAAGTGTCACGATTTCTGAGCAGTTTTTGATGTGCAATAACCATTTGGATTCAATCCAATGATGGCGCCATGATGAGCCCGTTCGGATCGCCCGACGTTCGCTGCTTCTGCTTCTTGTCCTTCATTCGGCGGTTCTGCAAAAAAAAAAGAATATGATGATGATGAAGCGCCAAGAGGAAGCAGACTCACCTGAAACCAGATTTTGACTTGTCTCTCGCTGAGGTGTAGACACCTGGCGAGCTCCCAACGCTTCTGCTTCGACACATACGTATTATAAAGGAACTCTTTCTCGAGTTCGAGCGTTTGCGCCTTCGTGTACGGTTTGCGCTTCTTGCGATGCGAATGTGTGCTCGACGTCCATTCGTGTTGGCCGATGTCTGCAACACACCAACACAACATTGATTTGAGCGAATTCGAGCGATCGAATACGGTAGTGAGCCAGGTGGCCGCAATTTGCTCGCGGCGTGTGTCATAAACGCGCGAGAGGATTTTGATCTCGCCGACACTGCGCCTTCGCTACCGACGCGCCGATATTTTTACGATCGCTTCCCGTCCGATTAATTAGTACCCCGAGGGGGGGGGGAAGGGCTGAACCTAATTAAAAATTTTCTCGATATATATGCCTTGCACTTTTTTTTGAGGGTTAGCTTAATAAATGAATTATGATGTCTGAGGAGAGTTGACGTTTCAATAAAATTTTCGTCTCAGGACCACGTTTAAAGGCAATTTTTGAACCAGCGAGTTGTCCGCAGATGAAAATTGATATTTTCAAAAAATCTTTCGCATGACACGTGACATTCAAAAATTGGTAGGCAGGGATCATTGAAACCGGTGAGCTCTCTCTCTCTCTCTCTTTTTTTTAATCCCACCTGAATACAACAAAAAAAAAACATATTGGTGGGGGGGGGTGCGCGGATTAGCATAAATTGGAATTACTAACACCTGGAAACCGTGACGACGAATGCTGAACGAGGAAGAGGAGGATGAAGAAGAAGAAGAAAAAACGCAGTGTGTGCGCATCGTAAAATTGCGCATGCACACATGCTCCGGATTACGGTCGAAGTTTACGACGTTTGGCGACTAACTCATATTGGCAAACACAAAAATTTGCGATGTCTACCGTAACCTCGCTTCACACGCACTGTATATGGTGTTCATCGACTTGCTGTTTGTGGGGTTTCATCATCATCGTCAATTTTTTTTTTCAAATTTCCACAAAGGCACCAAAGTTATCTGGCGGTGAAATCTGGAGAAAAACCCAACCGACTTGGCTATAAAACGAATCGTAAAATCAGTGTGTATGGAGGACGACGACGACGACGACGACGCCCCCGCCGATATTTTTGCGTCGGCACACGTTTGAACCTCGGACCACCGGCGACTGGAAATAAAATTCGAGCGGCAGATGCCCGAGATGATTCTACGAGAGTATCACCTCAAAGAATCACACCAGTGGCCACCAGAAAAAAAATCAATTCAATTCAAATTTTATTTTTTTTTTTTGAAAAAAAAAAAAAAATGTCATTGTGCAAAATTTTTGAAAGAAAAACTCCAATCTGAGCCAGTATGGATCATTTAAAAAATGTTCGAAAAATTCCCAAACCTATTCTGCACTTTACTGTTTCAATGAAATTTTAAAAATCCCCCCCGTCCCCCCATGAGCTGAATCCCCCAATACTGCCAATTTCTTTTATGAAAAAACAACAACAACAACAAGTCTGGGTTTTCTCGAGAGCCGGTGCTCAATCCAATTAACTCGCAAGCCACGCCCATCAAGCTACCGTAGTCGGTGAAAGCTAATTGAATGAAAATTGAAAGCAGTCTCTCTCCCTCTCTCTCTCGATCGCTCGCGCGCGCGTGCGGGTCGCCATACACACGTATGCATGTTTTTAATCCGAAAATTTGGGCAAGGTTCGAACAAAATTGGAAATGTACACAGATGGAGAGACAGCGACAACGACGACGACGACAACCCGCCAAAAAAAAAAGAAAGAAGCGAAGCTGCTCGCCTTCGGAAAACGATCGTAAAATTCGTCGCGCCTCTCAACGCCATCAAACACTATCTCGCTTCACTAATATTTGTAAGCACACTACAATAGTGTGTTTCCAGAAATTTCGTGTTTCTTTTTGAAACGAAAAAAAACGAAAATTCAATAGTGACTATCTGAATATGGAAACGAGGATGTCAGCAATTTGAAACTAATCGATTTGCATCTGTGGACAATTTTCAGCAAACCATCTCGATCAATATTTGAATGAAATTTTCGGCCCCCGAAATTATCAACCAACTGATTTTGTGTGTCTCATTTTATCATTTTATCGAGGCCACAAAAAAAAGAGAAGGGGGGGGGGTTTCCACACATAAATCATTTGACAAATCGCTCTCTCAATTTGCCGATCGACTTCCCCCCAATCCCATCTCTCACATACATACACATATATGGACACAAATAGCCGAACATTTCGAATCAATAAATTAGTCATCGAGTGCCCTGCCTCGACGAATAGGTTTGCTGACACCTAGTAGTCGGCCCCCTCTCCCAGCCAGCAGCGCCAATGTCTACCGTAATCCGCTTATCGACGAAGGCGGCTACGGTAGACGCGAGGGCCCCGCAGGCGGTTTCGCCTTTCATCTTTTTTTTTGGTGGCTGCCTGGCATGCAAGCAAGCCTTCGAAAAAAAGGGACTTTTGATTAGAATTGATGGAGGGGAAGAGAGCAGAAAAAAGGGTCCTTTTTGAAGACTGATCAAAATCAAACAAAAATGGCAACTCGGGGAAATGGGCGGAGCCCCGCTGAATAATGTGCAATAAAAAAAATGCGAACCAACGATTCCGTCTCATTTTTTGTTGTTATCGCTTGGAACACACACTGACCATGGAAAAAAGGACACCCAATTCTCGATATCTATAGGCATTTACGATGCCCCGGGTCTCTCCACACATGGTAATTAATAATTTTATGGGGTTTCTGGCGTTCGCTCGTTCGCCATTCCGCCCCGCGCACGCCCCTCATTTCTAATTGGGTGTTAACCTTAATAGGCGAATGAAGAAACATTAAAAATCACCTCCGAGATTCTCGAGTCCTCCCATCGAATAGTTGGCTGGAAACGGGTATTGTTGGCCGTACGCTGGATATCCCCATGATGCCGAAGCGGCTAGCGAGCTTTGATAGAAATCGGAGTACATCGGATTGTTGACCATCATCTCGAAGCCTGTAATACGAATTGGCAATTAGGATATAGAAGGGGGGGGGTTCGAGCCCTGTTCGACACTCTACCATTGGCAGCAGCTCCGAAGCGATTCGCGTTGAATTGGTACATGTTGGCGGCTGCGGCGGTCGCCGATTGCATCGACATGCCGCTGCTGCAAAAAAAATTGATATATGCTTTATTTGACCGAATTGTTGGAATGCGGAATTGAGGCACAAATTGTTTTTTTTTTCCCTCGCTTTTCAATTCCACTTAGTTTTCTATTCATTTCGTTTGGTTTGACGATTACATCGCGGCTTATCATAAAACAAATTTTTTTTCAGTCAGGTGACCAACAACATCTTGTGAATCGATTTTTTTTAGATTGGGACATTCTATGAAGCGTTGAGACCCATCTGCGGACGAGTTTCGTGAAAACAAAAAGATACCAACGAACCTTGTCGCCAATGGGATCGTTGGACTCGCGGCTGAATCCGGACCGGAGCCTTCGGAATGCGCATCGGTGCCGCTCGTTGAGCTCGAGTTATTCATATGACTTGATGAGCCTGGTCCAGCTGCGCTCGATCCAGCGGAAGCGGCCAATTGAGCCGGCGCCGGCCAGAAGCACGCCGATTGGTGTTCGAGAGGCGGCGAGTCTTCAGACTTTGGGAATGGGCTGAAAATTGGCAAGATTCAATAATTACCACACATTGGACGATAGAAAGGATGGCATACTTGTGAACGGAGTTGGATTTGGCGCCACCGCCACCACCGCCACCACCAGCGCCATTGTTGTTGTTCATCATTTGCTGCATGACCGAAATCATGACATAAATGGTCAAAAAAAAGAAGTGCTGAAAAAAAACAACGTTGAGGTGGCGAAAAAAAGAAATATTGAAAGAGTCGAAAATTTGGTTGTAATACAGCGAAAAAAAACGGGTTTCGATTTGGGTACGGTAAAAAATTATTACAATAATAAAGTGAGAGAGAGAGAGAGAAGGAATTGCGAAAAAAAACGTCGGGGGCCGCAATAAACAAATTAGCAATTCGATGGGACCCCTATGATACTTAATTAGCGGACCACCCGCCGGAAATAAAAATCGAAATAGCGCTGACGAAATCGTAAAAACGGTTTCGGCGGCAAGCAATTAAATATAATATATATATATATGCTTGTGTGTATATTCATTTATGTAAACACCCTAATAATCAAAAATGGGAGCAATAAAATCGAGGCGACCCGACACTTTATGGGATGCCAAGTTTTCATCGTAAAAGCCGAGAGAAGACGGGTGGGAAGCAGGACAGTGAATATAAAAAAAACAAAAGAACATTTGTGATATCAAGCACCGAAATGACTCGAAAATGCCTTTATAATTTTCTTTGAGTGTTGTGCGGTCGGGGCGGCTGAAGAAGAGGGCATCCGGGCCACGCACGGCGGTCGAAGCGATGCGGCGACCGAAATGCGGTGGGCGGAGTCGCGACTCCGCCCCTTTATCGTAGCGCCGACCAATGAGAGAGCGCGCGCGCGGGTTCGGCGTTGCGCCACTGGCGGCGAGAGATTCATCATTTTTATTTCCACCTGATAACTCATTCTGAGTACGCCCTCACAAGATTAAATCATATTTCAAAAAAAAAAAACGCGCTTAAAATTATTATAGATAAAAGAGAATATTTATGGGTTTGAAAATTGGAAACTGATAACTTTTTTAATGGTGTGCCAATCGAAACAAAAAAAATAAAACTTTCACTATGTAGCAAAACTGCTGTCCCGATTTATGGCGATTTTCGAGGTGAACAATTCCGTTCTTGTTGTTTTTTTGCATTCATTCATTCATTCTTTCGCCTAGTAATTGCTGATTGTTCTCTCTCTTTTTTTTCAAATCGATCTCCTTATCTTACACTTTTTGAAGGCTTTACTGAATTATTTAAAGGCGCATGCCGGGTGGCGAACATAGAAAAAAAGGGGCGTTTTTGGCAAATATTGCTTGAGGACTGGACTGTTCAAATAATGATAGTTGAAATCGAAAAATAAAGTGCAAAAGAGAAAAGCTCGCAATCATCATAAAGAAAATATTTCATAAGAATTCGTTGGCTACTTTGAGCCTTGTGAACAAAGGGTCCTGATAACGACAAAACGACTGCTCACACAACAAACGCGCCGCCTTCCTCTATTAGCACTGATTGAAAATATCCCAGAGGAGTTGTGGAATGATAAGAAGACTCGAGGCCGCCATTTCGAATATCTCTTCGTTGTCTTTCGGCTCGGAGCCGATTGGTTCCCGAAAAAAAGACCTTAGTAGAACTATTATTATTATTATTATTATTTGGTAGAGATAAGGAAGCGGTGAGCCCCTTTGCTCGAATGATGTATCGCCTGTCACCATCGATGTCACACCTGTCGCTACTCTCGCGTTGTTTTACATCAATTGCGCAATTATTCCTTGATGTCTTTATAAGCAATTTTTGTTTGAAGTCAGTTTTTTTGGCGCCTAAAATTTCGAGAAAATTGTTGAAACTAGCAGTGAGCTGGAAATCTGGAAGAAAGCTGCTGAGGAGAAATTGAGCAACAAATCCATTTATAGACAAAATGGACCCGCTTAAACTTTGAAATAAAATTGTAGAAAGTATTCAAAAAGAATAATGGAAAACTTTTGAGGAAAAATGTAGATTTCAGAAAAAAAAACTCCAAATTTTCACAACAAGGAATAATTAATTGATTTCCAACATATCAATTTTCAGCATATTTTTTCCAGACAATAGGATTTGAAAATGGAATTTTTATAGACGTCAAACTACTCAAAGGAGGCGTGGCCTTCGCGAAATCAGTGCAGATTTAAATATATCGTTGACTGAGTATTAAATGCGCGTACACTATAATGTAATGTACGCAGTCTCGCGTACCATTGGCACATAGCCAATAATTTTTTTTTTAATTTCCTTCAGACGCCGATTATAATTGCATAAAAATGTTGAAATCTAAAGCTCTCTCAGAATAGTAATTTCGAAACGTTGAAGTCGTTTAGAATCGCAGAATTGCTCATAAAACTAAAACAAGACTCTCATGGAATTCTCAAAAATTTATGGGAATTCCAAAATTTCGTTGGTGGCTTTGACAATATCGAAAATTGGCTCTTCACCAGACACAACAAAAAATAGTTGGGTGAAAGTCGAAACTATGCTCGAATGAAAATAGTTTAGAAGGAAAGCAATAATAGGGTGTCGAGTCGGTCATTAATCACAACACTTTTCTGCGCAGGAAACTCGGACCCCCCCCCCTTCTCAACTTGCCACCTCGCGCCCGCTCGAAATGCTCATTTACCCGCATCGATTTACGATCGAAGAACGTGTGCATAACGTACGGACCAGAAATTGTTTAACGATGTGAAAATTGCGACGGACCGGTTTAATTGAGAGCCAGTCGACTCGGCGCCCTCTTCAGCGCCATCGAGTCTCTTCCGAGTTGTGCTATGTTACCTTATATGTCACCTAGAGTCTCACCGCCATTTTTGATTTCAAATTTTGCTAGGGTCCTGCAAATCATTATCACAAATGATGGGAATGCTCCACTAAATTCTTTGCTTCAAACAACAAAATTGGAATTCCCTCTATGGCTCTAATGGTCCTACGAAGAATCAAAGAGGAGGCGAGGCAATAATATTTATTCCATGAACAAGCTTCTTCTACAGTATTGCGATAATAAATTTTTTGGTCGTTTCGAATTATTGCCGTGTTCTTTTTTGTATTTAAAAAATCAAAAATCTCAAGTTCCGGGTCAAGAAAACATTTTTGGATTTCATACGTTATTTTGATCTACCAACGAGAATTCATGAAGATATCTAGAATATTCGACGGTAATTCCTGACAATCTTCATTGGATCTACATATTTAAAAAAAAAATCTTGCATTGTCAAAAGCTTATCTCATTTCGCCCCGCCCCGCCCCCATTCTTAATAGAATTTTCTCTGAAAATTGAGCCTATAATTCTTACAGCTATATATAGTAGGTTGTAAACGATCGAAAAAAAAATAAATCAGGCGAATCAGAAAATAATCAGGACGAGCGCGTGAGCGCGAACATTTATAGCCGGCTATGAAGTGTGCGAATCTCGACGACGACGCGCATACCGTAATCATCATCGACATGACACAAAAAACGATAAAAATGTGGAAATCTCTCCTCTCATTTTTTTTCGTCTTCGTCTTATTCTTCTTCTTCTTTTCCTCCTGCTTGGGAGGTTCGTTTCGCATTTTGAGCAACGTGGTTTGTGGTGCGTGTTTCGTGTTTTACGGCTTGTTTTTGCGCACACCGAGCTGCACCATCTGGACATTTCGGTATGATGTCACACTATCCTCACCTCATCGTGTCTGATTCATTGTTGTGCGAATTTTAATTGAGAATTGGGGCGAGTCGACAACTCATCGAATTTTGCTGAAATATGATGAGCGATTGAAATGAGAAGAAATCGAAACGATCGCGAGTTTAAAGGCGCATATGCAGAAAAATGAAGATCCCACTGAAGATTAATAAAAATATTTTGTCTGAAACTAGAAACTCAAAATAATATTCACATTCTCTTGGCTAGCCAAAAAAATTAGGCCCGCTTTTTCCACAACAACTGGAATTTGTTGGAATGAGTCTCGACGTCGAGGACAACACAGAATTGGGATTTGAACGATGAGAAGTAAAAAAAAGCGATTTTGGGAAATATGATGGATGTTCGACAGAAAAAGTCGACAAAGAGCAATGATGAAACAATTCAAGATAATCGAATGAAAGGAAGAATTAGAAATGCATAATGAATTGGCGTTTCTATTATCAGACCTTCTTTCTAGCAGTGCCGACGTGGATTCCTCTCCCCACTTCCCGTCTCGATCAACTCCCTGATTTACAGTGATCACACAATTTCGAAAGGTCCTAATTAACATATATCGCCGAAATGTTTACCGATATCCTAAAAGGGGTGCGCTAATCCGTGCGAATGATCAAACACAACAGATGATAATCTCGGGGTGTGTGTGTGTGCGAGCGCGAGCCGCATTCTTCACCTGCCACCAACAAGTTCAATCCTACCCCACCTTCTTTTTGTCGGCTCATGCTCTCAAGGAGCTGTGTCATCCATCAAACACGTGTCACCATCGTGTTTGCACTTCAGATTTACCGATTATCGGGGGGGACGAAAAAAACAAGAGTATCGGATCGGATCGGTTCTGGAATACAATCAAGAGTGCTACTCATGGGATGTCGGGCAATAAATTCAGTATCAGTGCACACAGATTCTCACCAATAACTATCATTATGATAATATATTACATATTTGGAATGTATGAACCTACAGTAACCCCGCGCTCAACAGAAACGTACATTTTCGGTTCTTCGCGTGTATGTGCGTTATCATAAAGTCGTTAAACGGGCGTTAATGTTATTTCAAGATTACGAATTGCTTGGATTACGGTAGGCGAGACGGGAGTGAAGAAGCGATGCGCGAACAAAAAAAAAGCGACCGAAAATTCGAATTTGAACACCTTTTATAGTTTCGCCGCGTTCTTATATGGGCACGGTTTCGATAGTCACAAAAAAAAAGAAGGGCTGAAAATGATGGCAAACAGAAGGAATGTGCATATTTAGCCGGGCGGCAAACTTCAAACGGACTCCGATGTGGTTATCAGTTGCCGGAACTCACCGTCGTCGGAATCAACGTTTAGCATCGAAATGAATCAAATCATGAAATTGATTTGTGGTTTGAATGAATATAAATCAATTCATCGAATAATTGCCAAGATGGTGGGGGCAGTTTTAGGAGTTT